GAAAAGGCGCCCTGGTAACAACCGCTTCTCTTCTGTCCCCAGGGCCCAGTTGATCATGCAGGCTGAAGCCGAGGCTGAGTCTGTGCGGGTGAGTTGGGGCATGGCTCCTGATTGACACAGGGAAAGGCTTTTCAGGGTTTAATATGCTCTGTTGCTTGTTTTGGATTTTTGAGGCAAGACTATTATTGTGTCACCTTGGCTGACCTGGAACTCACTGTATAAACAAGATGGCTTCAAACTCAGGGAGATCCACCTACCTCTGCCTCCCAAGTACTGACTGGGATTCAAGGCACTCACAACTGAACCCTGTTGTTGTTGTCGTTGCTGTTGTCCTCCTCCTCCTCTCCCTCCTCCCCCTCCTCTTCCTACCCCTGTCCTCTTCCTCCTCTTCCTACCCCTGTCCTCCTCCTCCTCCCCCTCTTTCTCCTACACCTGTCCTCCTCTTCCTCCTCCTCTTCCTTTTCCTCTTCTTCCTCCTACACCTGTCCTCTTCCTCCTCCTCTTCCTCCTCTACCTCCTCCTCCTACCTCTGTCCTCCTCCTCTTCCTCCTCCTCCCCCCCTCCTCCAATGTGGGGGGGCAAGGTGGTGCATCTTGCCAGTGTGGAGGTCAGATCTCCCAGAGATTTTAAGTAAGGTTGTTGGCCTTACTGGCAAGCGCCTTTACCCTCTGAGTCTCATTGGCCTCAGAATTTGGTATCCTTAATGAGTTTTCTGCCCTGTACCCTCTACAGATTCGAGGGGAAGCTGAGGCCTTTGCCATAGGGGCCCGTGCTCGTGCCGAGGCTGAGCAAATGGCCAAGAAGGCAGAAGCTTTCCAGATGTACCAGGAGGCCGCTCAGCTGGACATGCTTCTGGAGAAACTGCCCCAGGTCTGGAGACGGGTGGGACTCTGAGAGGAGGGGTATACGGTGAAGTTAAGTGACTAAAGGGGGTCATTAGGGGTGCCAGGCGTAAGGCAGGACCGAAGCGAGGAATCACAGTCAGTTGTGGGGTGAATCTGATGGATGGTGTGGTCACAGCTATCTCTGCCTCCCAGGTAGCAGAAGAGATCAGTGGTCCCCTGACCTCAGCCAATAAGATCACGCTGGTGTCTAGCGGAAGCGGAACCATGGGGGCATCCAAAGTTACTGGGGAAGTACTGGACATCTTAAGCCGCCTGCCGGAGAGTGTGGAGAGACTGACAGGCGTCAGCATCTCCCAGGTGAGGGGGAGTGCAAAGTGTGCGTGTTACTGAGCACCTAAGCTGTGCGACACAGTGGGCTGAGTGCTTAGCGGGTGTCTGGGAGCCCAGGAAGTTAAGTTCGATTCCCAGAACCCACATCAGGTCCTTGCTTGGTTGGTTCCTGGCCAGTGAGAGACCCTGAGAATATAGAGTGCTTGGGGAACGACAGCCAAAAACTATCCTTTGCCTTTCACACACAAGTGCACGTGCACACACAAAAGGACTACCTCCAACGTGCTAAATGATGTAGTTCTTGTTTCTGTAAATCTCCAACCCAAATATAGCTGGTCAAAGAAAACACAACTCCGTAATTATGAATATAAGCTGCGCGCCTAGATTGGGCAGATTCACCATTACACTACTCTATTCCCCAGCTATGAGACCCTTATAGCTTGCAGGTTTTCCAGACCACGCGTTTGTCCTTCCATCTCCTCCTCCTCCATCTCTTCCTCCTCCTACAGCCCTCTCCTCCATAATCTTCCTCCTCTGTCGTTCTCTCTCTCTCTCTTCCCTCAAACCTTTATTTCTCCACCTCCCCTTCTACTGCCCATCACTGGCTTCCAGCCAGAAGGTTCACTAGAATTAACCTGTGCAATGACTCACTCCTCCTCTGCAGCCCTTCCCAGGAAAGGGGAATTACCATCAAAATACAAGGCCTGGGCTATCCACCCCAGTCCCCATGGCTGGGAAGCTGAAGTCAGGCCAGCCTTCTGTAGCCTGTGTGCCTGGGCACCAAAGGAGAGTAGAGTTAGCGGCCACCTGTTGCCTGCTGTCTCATTTCCTGACATATCATGACTTCCCTGGAGTTTACCCATCTGTGGGTTATGGCAAAGGTCAGAATGATGTAAATCACAGCCCCCTTGCCAGTAAGCGACCACCTGTGATGGGTTGCCTCGTCTTAAAATTATCTTAAAGAGCTGGCCATGGTGGTATCCCAGCACTCAGGAGGCAGAGGCAGGAGGGTCTTTTGAGTTTGAGGCCAGCGTGGTCAAAGAACAAGTTTCTTTGGGACTACACAGAGAAACCTTGTCTCAAAAAATCCAAAAAGAAAACAACAAAATCCCCAAATTGGCTTAACTGTCCTCCTTGCTTGAGTGTTGGGAAATTGTTTGCAGAGTACTTAAGCCAGTGTGTTGGGTAAACCACAGAAACATGCAGCTGGGTGTTTGTTTAAAGCTTAATCTCAGCACTCAGGAGGCAGAAGATCATTAATCTCTTGAGTTTGAGGCCATCTGAGGCAATATAGGGAAACCTCGTCTTTTGGGGTTTTGAGACCGGCTCTGTGTAGCCGTGGCTGCTCTGGAACTCACAGGCTGGCTTTGAACTCAGAGATCTGCCTCCTAAGTATTTTATCACCATCCCTTCTTAAAAAAAAAAAAAAAATGAAACCGCAGCCGGGCGGTGGTGGCACACGCCTTTAATCCCAGCACTCGGGAAGCAGAGGCGGATTTCTGAGTTCGAGGCCAGCCTGATCTACAGAGTGAGTTCCAGGACAGCCAGGGCTACACAGAGAAACCCTGTCTCGAAAAACCTTAAAAAAAAAAAAAAGAAACCGTGTGTATATAAAAGCAGACTTCAAGCTGGGTTTGTTGGAATATATCCTTAAAGCCTGAGCCAGGCTTTGAGTTAAGGAGTATGCAATCGAAGTTCTAGTCCCTCCGAGCTCTTCAGGGATGGGTCCCAATGGTTACATGGATACCTGGAACTTGCTACATAGATCAGACTAGCCTTGGACTCAGAGATCCAACTCCCCTCATCCTTTTCAATGTCCTCCAGAACCCATCCTTCCAAACGGATGCTACAGAGAGCAGATGCTGGATTCCCACGCTGTCACATCTTTTCTTTTCTCTAGGTGAATCACAACAAGCCTTTAAGGACAGCGTGAGCCCTCAGTCTTCAATGGTACCTGGACATTGCATGCGCCTCACCTGGCCTCCCTGAGCATGGCCCTCGACAGGGGTGCACGGCTCTCCTTGCCAAATAGTCTGTGCCTTGCCTTGGAGGGTTTGCCCTTCTCAACCCATTGCCAGTGCCCTGCACCAAGACTTTGTTTATCTTACTTCAGCCCATCCCAACTATTTAACTTCCTGATTAAACTAGACTGTTTGAGCCCTGTTATCTATACTTCTTTCCTCACCAAGACCAAAAGATAGCCCTCAAAATCCTTTTAAGTACCGACGCTAACAGCTAAAATACCAGTTTGCAGCATGCTGGAAGCAGAAGAAACAAGTTCCAGGCCAGCCTGGGTAGCAAGAACCTGACTCGGTCTTTCCAAGTTGCCTGTGCAGATTCCTGCAATGAGGTTGACAGTAAATTCACCCCTCCCTGGGCTCACAGTACTGGTCAGGTGGATGCCAGAATCCGGTGACAAAACTTGTAGGAAATGGTGCCTGTATCCACCTGTACCCCTCAAACACCCTGATCTACATATTAAATCCAGACTTATTACACCTAATGCCACTAGGTGTGGAAGCTTTGGCCTAGTGTTAACAGGGAACTCGAAGCCAGCCTGAGCAAGTCTCAGAATAGTGTGACTACAGGTCACAAGTTAACCCCAGAGGTCTGTAGGATATGCTGGAGGGTTGATGATGGGTTGTGAGGGACTGTTGTCAGGATTGTGGGCAGCTTTTGAACCTGCAACCCTCTGCTGAATGTCTAATCAGACATGCTCTTTTCCCTGGAGAGCTGGGGATGTCACTCAGTGGTCCCCAGCTCTGAAAGAAATGGCTAGGCATGCCAAATGTAATATCTCAGGTATTGGAAAGGCAGGGGCAGAAGAATCACCTAGTTAGGACCAGCCTGGGCAAACTACAGACAATTGAAAAGCCCCTAGGGATGCAGCTCAGGGAGAGAGCATTTGCCCGGCACTATGGTCAATGTTCAACACCACAAAAAATTCAAAATTAAGATCTGGCTGGCTCTTATAGCTTGCTTGCTTAGAATTTAATATAGTTTTGTGACATCCAGTATAACCTTGGGAACAGTATAATTCAACCCGGGACCAGCTTTACCTACTGCTGAATGAGCACACAGCCTCACACCTTTTTTTCCAATTCCCATTTATTTTTTGGCTCTTGGGGCAATGTTGTCTTTTCAATATGAAAAAAAAAAAAAATCAAGTTCAACACAAAATACAAAGGAAACGACCAAACCAAGGGTAGGAGGAAAATCGGGGCAAAGGTTCAAAGGTTAACCTCCCCTCTGAGGAGTGTCTGAAACACCCCATGGAAGCATACTTTCCCAAGTGTGAGGGTTAAGAGGGAATTGGTGTTCAGACACCAAGGCTTTGCTTCACCCCCCCCCAAACCCCCATGCACCATCTCTTGGAGAAAGGATAATACAGGGAAGACACCTCCAATGGCAGATTTGGCTCGTGACAGCTGGGAGGATATAAATGGAGATAATACTGTTAATACCTCTCCTGAGGCTGAGCGATGAAGCAGGGGAAAAAAAAAAAAAACCCGATTGAAGGCCTCAGTGGATTCCGGTGTTTAAATGGCCTTGACTGGAAAACCCCTCCCTTCTCTTCCTATTGACCTCTACCCACCTTTCCCTGATCCACTACTTTGCTTTAAGATGGTTACTGAATTCTTAGAACTGGGCTGGGCTCTACACACGATCTAGAGCAGAACTTGGGTTCCTGGAGAATATATTGGAAGAATATTGACTGGACAGTTATTTAAAAAAAAAAAAAAAATGGGTACCAGGAGGAAGCACAGGGTAACACCCAGAATGTTAGAAATCTAAGTTTGTCAGAGTGGAAAGAGAAAGGAGACATTCCACAAACAAATATTTATTGAGTGCCCGACACGTGCCAGGCACTGTTTACCCCCCAATGAGAAAACAAAACGAAAAAAAACAGGACAGAGGCAGCAGAAAGAAAAAAACGGGAGGACAAAGGGCAGCTGGAGAAAGCTGAGGGAACTAAGCAGCCTGAGGTGAAGCAGGGCTCTCTGCCTTAGGCCTCCTCTTCTGCCTCCTCTCCGAAATCCTCTTCCTCTTCCGCGGTGGCATCCTGGTACTGCTGATACTCAGAGACGAGGTCATTCATGTTGCTCTCAGCTTCGGTGAACTCCATCTCGTCCATGCCCTCACCCGTGTACCAGTGGAGGAAAGCCTTCCGGCGGAACATGGCCGTAAACTGCTCGGAGATGCGCTTGAAGAGCTCCTGGATGGCCGTGCTGTTTCCAATGAAGGTGACCGCCATCTTGAGGCCGCGTGGTGGGATGTCACAGACAGCTGTCTTGACGTTGTTGGGGATCCATTCCACGAAGTAGCTGCTATTCTTATTCTGCACGTTGAGCATCTGCTCGTCCACCTCCTTCATGGACATCCGCCCGCGGAAGACGGCCGCGACTGTGAGGTACCGGCCGTGGCGTGGGTCACAGGCGGCCATCATGTTCTTGGCGTCGAAGACCTGCTGGGTGAGTTCAGGCACCGTGAGGGCCCGGTACTGCTGGCTTCCGCGGCTGGTGAGAGGCGCGAAGCCAGGCATGAAGAAGTGGAGACGGGGGAACGGCACCATGTTGACAGCCAGCTTTCGAAGGTCGGCGTTAAGCTGGCCCGGGAAACGGAGGCAGGTGGTGACACCGCTCATGGTGGCTGAGACAAGATGGTTCAGGTCTCCGTAGGTGGGTGTGGTGAGCTTGAGGGTACGGAAGCAGATGTCGTAGAGGGCCTCGTTGTCGATGCAGTAGGTCTCATCCGTGTTCTCCACCAACTGATGGACAGACAGGGTGGCGTTGTAGGGCTCAACCACGGTGTCAGACACTTTGGGTGAGGGCACCACGCTGAAGGTATTCATGATGCGGTCAGGATATTCTTCTCGGATCTTGCTGATGAGCAGGGTGCCCATGCCAGAGCCCGTGCCTCCACCCAGGGAGTGGGTCAGCTGAAAGCCTTGCAGGCAATCACAGCTCTCTGCCTCCTTCCGCACCACATCCAAGACAGAGTCAACCAGCTCAGCTCCCTCTGTGTAGTGGCCCTTAGCCCAGTTGTTGCCTGCCCCGGACTGACCTGGAATGTAGCGAGGGAAAAAAAAATTTTTTTTTAAAAAGCTCAATCACAAAGATATGGGAGGAAACACGATACTTCTAAACCTTTCAACGCTTGAAGTCATTCCATCTGGACCACGGGAATCCGTTCCACATAACTCACCAAAGACAAAGTTGTCTGGTCTGAAGATCTGGCCAAAAGGACCTGAGCGAACGGAGTCCATAGTCCCGGGTTCTAGATCCACCAAGATAGCTCGAGGGACGTACTTGCCGCCTACAGGGATTCAAGTAGATGTTTGATCAATCAGCAATGAAATAGCTCAAATTTGGAGCTAGTCATTAAAGTTGTCATTCCAGGCACTACCACCCGGTGGCGGTAGAGCTAATCTTTAGCCCTTTATGGTGTCTAAAGGGAAAAAAAACGGGAACCATACAGAGGGGTAACAGATACTTAAAAGCGTGGAAAAGCAGGGCGTGGTGATGCTGCCCTTAAAGCCAACACTTGGAGGTAGACCGATCTATGTGAGTTCCAGGGAAGCCAGTGATGAATGGGGTCCCTGTCTCAATAGAGGGGCAGGGAGAAGTGTTAAAAGGGGGTTTGAGCCCTCACCTGTGGCTTCATTGTAGTACACAGAGATTCGGTCCAGCTGCAGGTCGCTGTCCCCGTGGTAGGTACCGGTGGGGTCGATGCCGTGTTCATCGCTTATCACCTCCCAGAACTGCATAGGGAAGAGCAACGAGGCCTCAATGGCTCGAGTCCTAAGGGATGCCTCCCGCCCCTCATTTCAATTCCAGACATGTTCAAACGAGGCCGAGGTGTAGACACTGCAATCCCGTTATCTGCTTGCCGAACCCCCATAGAGAACCTACGCCCCCGGAAGGTTACAACCTTTGTGGACAGGGCGAGCGATGGATGGTTCAAAGGGCCGGGAGGCTGTAAGCATCTACATGGGCGGATCGGCGCCCACCTACTTGGCTCAGCACCCAGGTCGGCTCCTGAAGCCAGGCACCGCCCTTCCAGGCCAGCACAAAAGAGGGTTGGGGGAGAAAGGTGCGGCCACTGCAGTCGCCCACCCCTTACGCGCTCCACGTGACTGCGGTGGCGGGCCGCTCCTCCAGCAAACCACAAAGGCGGGAGCAGCGCGGGCGGGGCCTCGCTGGAGGGGCGGGGCCAGTGCGCCCCCGCGGGCCGGGGCCGCATTGTCCCTGCGCGCCAGGGGCTCCAGCCCCGCCCCCAAAGGGTCCCACCCTTCGGCTACAATTTAGCGGCCGCACTTCCTCCCTCCCCATCCCCCGCTACCCTGTAGTTGCGCGCAGAGAGGGGGAAAAAATTTTTAAAAAGCCCCACGGCCTCCGATCTTTATTCCCTCCTTTCCCTCTCCTTAGTCCTCCCCCTCCCGTCGGTCTATCACATACTTGGAAAAGCTCACACTTTCCTACTGCTACCCTAAGATCTCTTCTAAGGGCAATGAAAAGTAAAAGCAGGCCCCTACAGAATCATTATCTTAAAAAGAAAAACCTTGGGCCGCCGGGTTCGATGGTGTCTCCAAGCCTTTGTTGAGAGGCAATCCGCACCTGGGCACCTCGGCAGCTGCCCGCCAAACCTCGCCCCTTCCCCCGCCATTCTGTTCCACCATGGCCCTCCAGGCGGGGTGGGGGTGGGGGTACCGCAAGGGGAAAACCTCGCCTCGGCTTTGTCTCCGATCGTTTCCGCATCCCTCCAGTCCTCGAACCGTTAGAAAACCCCTCCTAAGACCAGCTCTTTACAGTCCCTCATCCTCTCCCTTCCCTAAATTCAAAACGCTCTCTTAATAGCTTTCCGAAAAATGTGCCACGAAAAGCATTTCCTCATTTCTCAGTATCAGAGCGCTAGCTACAAACACGGGTTATATTTATACGTGCAAAACTTTGAGGGGCCAAATCTGACCGGTGGAGAATGCAAACGCCCCGTGAACATTGCTCATGATTAACAGAGATTTCTCACCCTTACATATTTCAGCTAAGATTTTAAAATCCTTACCTTAGCACCGATCTGGTTGCCACACTGTCCGGCCTGGATGTGCACTATTTCCCTCATGGTTAGGGTTTACTGTAATAAATTTTTTTCGATGGTTCCAATATAGGTACCGAGCAAGAAAAGATAATTAAGGTTTTTGAGGTTTTTTTTTCTTCTGGGCCGGTCTCAGACTGAAAGGATGGAACGTAGCCCCGGAGGCTGCAGCAGCGAGATGCGAGCACGACCGCAGGAAGGTTCTAAGAGGCAGAAGAGGCCGGCGAGCGCAGGAGGGAAGGCGCGCAGGGCGGGGCGCGCGTTCGCGCGGCTGGGGGCGGGAGATAGGCGGGTGTCCGGGGTCGCAGACAAAGCCTACCCAACCAGTCCCTGATTAGACCAGCCGATCACGTGCCAGACGGCCATTGGTCTCAGAGCCAGTGGCGAACGCAGTCCTTTTTGGGAGTTGTAGTTCTCTATTGTTGTCCACGCTGCAAGAAGAAGTTAGGGATGGGTGGGTACTGTGGGAGGATTAGGGGTTATCTTGTGTGTGTGTATGTTATTTTATTTATTTTCATGAAAAATTACCTTTCACGAGATTCCTATCCTCTATTTCTAAGAAAGGATTTTGTACTAAAAGAGGTTTGGGAAAATATAGTAATTAGGAGATCAGAGGTGCCTGAGTTGAAAGTGGGTTGGGCACGCCCTGCCAGCTGCCCACCGCAGTAGGTCTGGGAAGGCCAGACTGCCTAGCTCAGCGAAAAATCCTGGGAACTGTGTCCGCCTTCCCTGATACACAGTATCTAGTTCTTTGTGATCCCAAGACAGGAATTTCAGTAAGGCACTCCTCCCTCCCATCCCTCCAGAAGGAAGAATTGCCCTTCTGTTTCCAAGGGAGTTGTGTCAAGGATTTTTTCAAAAGAGAAACAAAATTGCAAGGATCATGCGAAAAACTGCTTGGAGCTGATGTCCTAAAAGAATGAAGGTGTATATAAAACTCTGAGTGGGGCCAGGCTGTAGTGGCGAACACCTTTAATCCCAGCACTTGGGAGGCAGAGGCAGGCAGATTTCTGAGTTCAAGGCTAGCCTGGTCTACAGAGTGAGTTCCAGGACAGCCAGGGCTACACAGAGAAACCCTGTCTCGAAAAACCAACCAAACAAAAACAACAACAACAACAACAACAACAAAAAACCTCTGAGTGGGATTTGGGCTTTTAGGAAGATGCTGAAGATATTCTGGTCATCTTGTCAGTACAGACTGTGGAGTGGACAGACTAAGAGAATGCCAGTCTTTAGACAGTGCCTCCCTCTCTCAGACATTAGCTTGAAGCAGGGAGGGGGGTCGTTTTTTTTCCAGTTAGTTGATTTTATTCATGAGTCTCTGGTAATGTCCTGGAACTGCATGGGGAGATGAGAATTGAACGGGCTCAAGTCAGAGCCCATAAGCTTCTCTTTCCTTGGTACTCGAAAAATACTAAATATCCTTAAACATGTAAAGGGATACAAAATGATTAATTAGAATAAGAGCGAGAGGCTGGGTGGTGGTGGCACATGCCTTTAATCCCAGCACTTGGGAGTCAGAGGCAGGCAGATTTCTGAGTTCGAGGCTAGCCTGGTCTACAGAGTGAGTGAGTTTCAGGACAGCCAGGACTACACAGAGAAACCCTGTCTCGTTAAAAAAAAAAAAAAAAAAAAAAAGAATAAGAGCAGGAATGGTTCACAGGGTTAGTCCCCAAATTCTGACTAGAAGAGAAATTCCAGGTCAGGGTAGGCTACCTAGAAGCTACCTGAACAGCCTGAGGTACACTTTAGGTTCAGTCTCTAAATGAACGAATAGAAAGGAAAAATTAGATTGTGCCTACCCAACCACTCAGGCAATAGGGGAGGTTGAGGCAGAAGAATCCTTGCACTTTGGAGGCTAACCTACAAAATGAGAGCCTGTCTTGGAAACAAAACATTCGTGGGGCTAGAGAGATGGCTCAGCAATTATGAGCATTTGTTGTTTTCAGAAGAACAAGTTCAATTCCCATCAACTATCCATAACTCCAGGTCCAGGAGACCCAACACCCTCTTCTGTACTTAGCAGGCTTGTGGCACACAAGCAGTACACAGACATACGTCCAAGGAAACCACCAATACACATAAACAAATACCGCTTTAAAGAAGAGAAAACAAAACAAAGTGTTTGGTAAGCAGTATCTAGAATGTAATCATGTAGGGAGGTGTGTTGGCTCAGAGAGAGAAAGGAGAATCCCTGTGAGTTCAAGACTAACCCGGTAAGTTAGTTCTAGGATAGCAGAGGCACATAGTGAGACTCCTTCTCTGGCTTAAAGAAGAAAAAAAAAATCAAAGACATGCAATCAACATAGCTCAAGCCATCTTTTAAATAAAAGAACTTTTAAGTTGGATTAATACTCCTTTATTCACTAAAAATACAGTATTTCGGCCGGGCGGTGGTGGTGCACGCCTTTAATCCCAGCACTTGGGAGACAGAGGCAGGCAGATTTCTGAGTTCGAGGCCAGCCTGGTCTACAGAATGAGTTCCAGGACAGCCAGGGCTATACAGGGAAACCCTGTCTCGAAAAAGCGAAAAAAATAAAAAAAAATTACAGTATTTCAATTTTGGTTATGCTAACAATGAAAGTGACTATTTTGTGCTACTTGAATTTGTCCCATTTACTGTAGGAACATGGATAAGTCATCCAACTTAAAGCTTCAAACATCTGGCGATTTATTGTGGACATATTGGGAAAAACCAATGGGAAAGAACTCTAAACTATACAAGCCACTTTCCTGGAATACTTTCATGTTTTATTATACTGAAATAAATTATTCTATTATACCTTTCTCCTCTTTTGAAAGATGACGACAGACTGAGGTTTTAGCAAAACAGTTTGCTTTATTTAGCATCTTCCATTTGGGAAGATGACCTCAAAACGTACGTCATTTTATACATTCATTGATATATACATACATATATATGCAAGAAAAGACAAATAAACAGTCGAAATCAAAAGGAAATAAAATCTCTCTGCAATGGGGAGTTCTAAGGTGCCACGCCTACGGGCTGTTTTCCAATCTGCAGCCTCCAGCCACGACTGCAGCCTGCAACCCCTCATTTCTCATGAGTCAGCTGGCGCCATTTCTGGGATGACCGAGAAGGGCGCTCTGGCCTTGGAATGACTTCTATGATGAGGCCCTTCTATCCACCGCAGGCAAGTGGCGCCAGACTCTCTGGTAGGCGTTTGGAAATCTGCGCGGGAAGTATTCCGTGGATGACGTAACGATGGTGGGTTGTCTCAGGACGCTACCCAATCGCGGTGCGGGATTCTCAGGCCACACCCCCTGATTATGAGCGTTTCCCTCAGCCTGTTTCCCGCCGGTAGCCACACTTTTGAGCTGTGAGGGGGCGAGGCGGAGGGCGGGGCTTCCGATTTGGGCTTTGAATCAATCGGCGCGCTTCCAGTAGTAAAAGACAGCTCCAGCAGCCAATCAGCCATCCGACTCTCTTCCGGGGTACGCACTCCCGCCACCGGAGTAGCGGCCGTTACTGGTGGCGCGCGCGCGGATTCAGTCGGTGAGTTCGGCCGCCCGCGCTGGGGTTACCATGTTGGATTCGTCCTGAGGGCGGGAGGGGCGTGCCTTAGGCGTCACTGGGCGGAGGTAATTTGGGTTGCGGTTTTAGATTTTCATGCTAATTCTTGCCTGGCACCCTGGTCCGGGTGTAGGTTCGGTGACACGGAAACATTAGGCCACCAGGGAACAAACTCCAGCGTGGGGATCAAAGATGGTTGCCCTTCAATTGGAGCAAAGGGTCCTAGGCATCGGCTGGGTTGGCAAGACGGAGTTTACTTCTTGGGGTACACTACTTTCCCTGTCAGCGGTTTCCCCGTGTGTGACATCTTTCTAGGTAAAATCCACCCATGCAATTTTGAATTTCTGTCTCTAATTTGTTTCTTAGTAACTCCGGCGATGTAGCTACCATGAGAGCAGGATTCATTTTGAGGATGTATGCCCAAATACCTGAACGGTACCAGGTGTACATACTTACTGTAGAGTAAATAAGACGGACCCAGGAGTAGGGGAGGTAAGTATGTAGATACAGCTCTACCGGTATTGATCTGAAAGTTGTCAAAAGACATAAAGGGTCTTGCCAAGGAGCTACTTTAGTTCTGTGAACTTAGCAGCCACGAAAGAACGTTAGGGGTGATTTAGAAACGTTCCTTAACTCATCTATCTTGTCGTTTCTCATCGGGGAAAACAAACAAAAGACTAAAAATGAAGAACAGCCAATCTCTCTTTTTTTTATTATTATTATTTAATGTATGAGAACACTTATTGTCTTCAGACACACCAGAAGAGGGCATCGGATCCCATTATAGATGGTTGTAAGCCACCATGTGGTTGCTGGGAATTGAACTCGGGACCTCTGGAAGAGCAGGCAGTGCTCTCAACCTCTGAGCCATCTCTCCAGCCCTAAAGATTTATTTTATATACATGAGTATACTGTCCCATCAGATCCCATTACAGGTGTTTGTGAACCACCATGTGGTTTCTGGGATTTGTACTCAGGACCTCTGGAAGAGCAATCAGTGCTCTTAACTGCTGAGCCATCTTTCTAGACCCAGAAACAGTATATTTCACATACTGTTGTTTCTCAAAACCCACACCCTCACACAGGTGAGTGCATGGTTCCAGGGAGGGTGTCAGATACTCTGGAATTTGAGTTACCAACTGTAGTGAGCCTCTGTGTGGGTTCTGAGAACTGAACTTAGGTATTCTGGAAGAGCATGCAGTGCTCTTAACCAATGAGCCACCTTGCTGTTTTTTGTTTGTTTTGTTTTAAAGAGGTCTTACTGTGTTGCCCGTGCTAAACTGGAGTCCTGGACTCAAGCAATCACACTGCTTCAGCTGCCCCCATAGCCGGAACTGTGGGCATACACCATCTCAGTCCAGCTTACCATGTTTTTTTTTGTTTTTTTCTTTTGTTTTGTTTGTACTTTAAGCAAAGTACCATCTGTGGGCTGGGGATATAGCTTGGTGGTAGAGCATTTGTTTTGGTGCGTGAGGCTCTAGATTCAGTCTGTGGTACCTAAAAACAAGCAATCATATCCCATAAAGTATCCCTTTCTATATAATGGTATACTTTGTATCATGACCAGAAGTAAAAATATGTGTGTGTGTGTGTATATATACACACACACACATATATGTGTATATATATATATATATATGTATATATGTATATATACATATGTATGTATGTATATATATATACATGTATATATACATATATGTATATACACACATATATGTATATGTATACAGGTATATATACATATATATAATTATTTTACAAATAATATATAATCATTAATTTACAAATAATATATGCAAATATATATTATTTGTTCTGTTTTGGAGGGCAAGGTCTCACTGTAGCCAAGGCTGGTCTCTACTTTTTTTTTTTTAAATTCATGATCTAACTGTACTTCTGGCTGGCCTGAAACTGGCTATGTAGACCAAATAGAGATCTGCTTACCTCTGCCTTCTCTTTTTTTTTTTTTTTTTAATTATTTATTTATTTTATGTATGTGAGTACTCTATAGCTGTCTTCAGACACACCAGAAGAGGACATCAGATCCCATTACAGATGGTTGTGAGCCACCATGTGGTTGCTGGGAATTGAACTCAGGACCCTCTGGAAGAACAGTCAGTGCTCTTAACCGCTGAGCCATCTCTCCAGCCCCTTACCTCTGCCTTCCCATTGCTATAATCAAAGCTGTGTATCACCGTGCCTGGTAAGGTCTCCAGTTCTTAATTCTCCTGATTCATATCTCAGATGAAGGAATTACAGATATATGCCAACATGTTTTTATCAAAAAGTGTTGAGCACATGGCCTCACACAGGCTAGCCAAATATTCTATCACTGGCATATTCTCCCACCCCTGAATATTGTTGCATGCTTTAGAATAACTGATAGAAAAGTCATCACCTCTCCTTGTTTGTACACATCTTTAATCCCAGCACCTGGGAGGCAGAGGCAAAGGAATCTCTTGAGTTTGAGGACAGCCTGTTCTACAAAGTGAATTCCAGGACAGCCAGGGCGACATAGAGAAGCTCTGTCTCAGGAGAGAGAGAGAGAGAGACAGACAGACAGACAGAGACATCATTTCCACATTTACCCAGGTTTACCTCCAGTCATTTTTTTTCTGACAAAAGCAATGATAATATGTTTCCTTTACAGATCATGGAAAGCACCCAGGTTATTGACTGGGATGTTGAACAAGAGGAAGAGACAGAAATATCCAGTGGATCCTTAGGATATAGTGTGGAGCCTATAGGGCGGCTACGTCTCTTCAGTGGTACTCATGGACCGGAAAGAGGTCAGGGGATATTGAGAGCTAAAGTATGAGTGTGGGTCTTTCTTAGAAGAAGTTGGAGGGTTGGTAGAACCTTATATATGTTTCAAAGGGGATATGAGCTGGGCGGTGGTGGCGCACACCTTTAGTCACAGCACTTGGGAGGCAGAGGCAGGTGGATTTCTGAGTTCGAGGCCAGCCTGGTCTTCAGAGTGAGTCCAAGACAGCCAGAACTACACGGAGAAACCCTGTCTCGGAAGAAAAAAAAATCAAAGGGGGCTATGAATAACTACTACTAAGGATGCCAAAGAGGCCACCTGAGTTGACTGTTCGAGGCTGGTATCCTGGATTTTGTAGGAGTGATTTTCTTTTCTCAAGAGAAACTCAAATAAAAATGCAATGTGTGGGCTAAAAAGATGGCTCAGTGATTAAGAGTACTTACTGTTCTTGTAGAGGCTTAGGTTCTCAGCACCTACATGGTGGCTCACAACCACCTGGAGCTCTAGTTCCAGGGGGCCTGACACTGTCTTCTGACCTCAGGCCACGAGTGGTAGACATGAACTCAAGCAGGTGCACACATACACATTGTGGGTGTTGGTGAATTGTGGAAGGACAGTGGCTGTATAATACAGCTGGACAGCATACATGCAATGATTGAAGTGGTTAGAGTTGTATTGTGTGTATTGTTTCCTTTATTTTTGTTTTTCCTTTGAGACAAGGTCTCTATACAGCCTGTGCTGTTCTGGAACTTACTATGCAGACCCTGCTGGCTTCACAGAGATCCAATTGCCTCTGCCTCCTAAGTGCTGGAATCAAAGGCGTGTGCCACACTAAACCTAGCCTGTATTATATGTATTTTATTACACAGAAGCACCCATTGGGCATGGTGTTGCATGTCTGTGATCCCTGTACTAGGGAGATGACTCTAGAATTTGAAGGTAGCTTAGGCTACATAGTAAGTTTGAAAATAATCTGGGCTATATGGTAAAACCCTAAATCAAAAAAAAAAAAAAAAAAAAACAAAGCAAGAGCTATAGCTATAACTCAGAGGAAGAGTGTTTAGCAGGCATGCATGAAGCTCTGTTTTCAAGTTTGAGCAATTGGGAAAAGAACAAAAGTAATGTGACTAGATAGAACATTGCTGATGAGTGGTGTGTTATAAACGCTAGCCTGCCCTCAGAGTTTTGTTGTTGGCTGTTTTTAATGCCTGTAAGAGCTCTGAGTGAATAGTAGGGTATCTAATCAGAGCATCTATCTTCAGGGCAGCACTCTGGCCTTACTCTTATATTTTTTATCTGATTCTCAGATTTCCCACTCTACCTTGGCAAGAATGTAGTTGGTCGAAGCCCTGACTGCTCTGTGGCCCTGCCTTTTCCATCCATCTCCAAACAGCATGCAGTGATTGAAATCTCAGCTTGGAACAAAGCCCCTATCCTCCAGGATTGTGGGAGCCTCAATGGCACTCAAATCGTAAAGCCTCCTAGGGTCCTACCTCCTGGAGTGAGCCATTGTCTGAGGGACCAGGAATTAATTCTCTTTGCAGACTTTCCCTGCCAATACCATCGCCTGGATGTCCCACCACCCTTGGTCCCTCGGAGTCTTCTAACTATAGAGAAGACCCCCAGAATACGGGGAGGATCCCAACATTCCAGAGTTTTGTTGGCTGAAGATTCAGAGGAAGAAGGGGGTAAGTTTGTGCCTTGGGTATATGTGTGAAGAGACACGATGATAGATGTAAACTCAATTTATTCTCTCCTGTTCTTGCAAGATTTTCCTTCTAGAAGGGGTGTGGTGAATGGATCAAGGAATACAGCATCCCCTTCAGCAACAGTAGTTCCAGAAAGGTGGGTACCAAAGGACCAGGTACCTGAATCATTTGTCTTTGTGGGTTTTGTTGTTGTTGTTTTGTTGTTGTTTTTTCAGAGAGTCTCTGTAGCCCAGGCTGGTCTCAGATTCATGGTAATCTTCTGGGTTCAGACTCTGTGTATTGGAATTAAAGGGTTAAGCTGTCATATCTGCTTTTAGACACCTAAACTTTCGAACGAAGAGTCAATGTTGAATAGATGACTAGTTTTTGTTTCATTTTGTTTTGGGGGGGTTGTTTGGTTTTTTGTTTTGTTTTGTTTTTTGGTTTTTTTTGAGACAAGAGTTTCTCTTTGGCCGGGCGGTGGTGGCGCACGCCTTTAATCCCAGCACTTGGGAGGCAGAGGCAGGCGGATTTCTGAGTTCAAGGCCAGCCTGGTCTACAGAGTGAGTCCCAGGACAGCCAGGACTACATAGAGAAACCCTGTCTCGAAAAACCAAAAAAAAAAAAAAGAGTTTCTCTTTGTAACCCTGGCTGTCCTGGAACTGGACTCCAACTTAGAGATCCACCTGCCTCTACCTCCCAAGTGTGCTGTGATTAAAGGCATGGGCCACCACTGCCTGGCAGATGATTATCTTGAAAGGCGGTGCTGAGGGCCTTTGAATAATTTTTTCCTCAGCTAAATGAAACCGTGATGAGTACTTCTGATATACTCAGTGGAGATGAGAAAACAGCTACCAGGAGTACCTGCTTTCAAGGTCCTCATAGCTGAATGGGGTGTCTCTATCCAGGACATATTCTATGGATTCTTTTTCTTTGCAGTGATGAAGAGGGCTCTTCTCCAGCCCCAAGTGTCCCTGGGCCATCTTCGACCTTTGGTTTGGGCAGTGACACAGATGAAGAACAAGGTCAGCAACCAGGAGTAGAGGAGTTCTCTTTAGCTGACCACAATGGTGCTGCAGGGGAGGCTGAGCAGCCGGAAGCTAATGGAATGACAGCTGGCATACAGGCTCAGCCTACTGAGCAAAAGTTGAAGGACACAACACTCAAGAAGGAGGCAGGCAGTGCAGAGATTCCAGTTGGGTCAGTTGTGGAGAGGATCCCCACCCTTGGGGAGGACAGGGACACGGAAGTGGATGAAGAACACCAGCCTTTTGGTTCTGTGGACAGTGACACAGATGTGGAAGAAGAGCGGATCCCTGTGAAGAAGAACCAAGTGCTACTTGGAGTCGGTGTCGGGGATCCTGGAGCACCTGGTGTGGCACATCTGCAGGACAGCCCAGCTGGTAGTGACACAGATGTGGAGGAGGACAAGACTGCACTGGCTGACCCTCTAGAGAAAAACCACACACCTATGGTGATCAACAGTGATACGGATGAGGAGGAGGAGGAGGTCTCAGCAGCACTCGCCTTGGCCCATCTGAAAGAGAGAGGAATTGCTTTGTGGAGTAGAGACTCAGGCACAGAAGAGGTCAAATCCCAACCACAGGTCCTTGTAGAACGAAGCCAGAGTGCCTCTGGGAGAGACAGTGACACAGACATGGAGGAGGGATCCTCAGGGGGAAAGAGAAAGATTGTCCCTGACAGCCCCATGGATGTAGACGAGGCTCTTACTGTCACACAGCCAGAGAGCCAGCCTCCCCGTAGGCCCAGTGATGTAGATGAGGACGTGGCTATGAACTCCCCTGGCAGCCATCTAGCCGTAAGTCAGGCCTCCTCTGCTGTGGCAGACAAGAACGGAGCACAAGTAGAGGAGGTTACCCTGGGGGAGAAGCACCAGGTGCCTCTAGAGGGAGCCCAGCCTCCTGAGGAAGCCTGGGAAACAGCTGTACAGGAAGGCTTATCCTCACCAATGGAAGTCGGAAGACTGAGCCAGCAGCCAGTAGCAAAAGATGCTGGGACAGAGTGTGCTGCAGCTGTTTGTGAGCAGGAAAGCGCTCCTGAGGTGGGGGCCCAAAGCAGGTCACCTGCAGCACCAGTGGAGCAGGTGGTAGTATACACAGATACTTCAGGGGATCCCACCCTGCCACAGAGAGAGGGAGCCCAAATCCCCACAGGAAGGGAGAGAGACGCACATGTGGGCAGGACCAAAAGTGCCAAAGAGTGCTGTAATGGTAAGTGTTGCCCTCTGCTCTGCCTTTGATCCTTAAAGTAAAGTGGCCGTAAGAGTTGGGAGAGAACTGTAGAGGTCTTTAGGATGAGAGTTGACTTTTTTTAAATCTGTCTCATATCTCTTCCCACCAGAACCTGAAGATCTGTGCCTTCCAGCTACCCAGTGCTTTGTGGAAGGGGAGAGCCAGCACCCAGAAGGTGAGGACATTGTGTGGTTTGGATGTGAGTGCTAGAGAGAGCTGGGTGATTAAACAAGTGGTCTTTGAAAGGTGATGTGGCCAAGTAGCCTACAGGACCCTGGCATTCTGGGACCAGCTGTGTTCTACCCACCTTTTCTTCTGCAGCTGTCCAGAGTTTGGAAGACGAGCCTACCCAAGTCTTCCCATGTACTCTTCCGCAAGAGCCTGGACCTTCCCACCGCAGCCTTCCGACTCCAGGTGCAAGGAAGTTTCTCTAAATTCCCAACTTAGCAAGAACTTAAGAAAAACTTAGCATCCTTGTTTTCTTCCTCTGCATCCTTTCTGGGGGTTTTTTTTTTTTTTGGTTTTTCGAGACAGGGTTTCTCTGTGTAGCCCTGGCTGTCCTGGAACTCACTCTGTAGACCAGGCTAGCCTCGAACTCTCGAACTCAGAAATCCGCCTGCCTCTGCCTCCCAAGTGCTGGGATTAAAGGCGTGCGCCACCACGGCCCGGCCTCTGCATCCTTTCATATGCTGTCATTTCCCTGTGTTACATGTATGAGTGTTTTGCTGCATGTATACATGTTCACCATGTGCATGCCTAGTGCCCACAGTGGTCAGAAGAAGACGTCTTATCCCCTGGAACTGGAGTTAAGGACTGTTGTGAGCTGTCATGTTGGTTCTCAGAACTGAATCCAGGTCCTCTGCTAGAGCAACCAGTGCTCTCTCCAGCCCCTCATATTCTTGTTTGTTGACAAAGAGTTCATGTAGCTGAAGACCTTGAACTGCTGGTCTTCCAAGTGCTGGGATTACAGTTGTGTACCATCCAGCTAGGGATGGACCAGGGCTTCCTATGAATCCTAGATGAGCTCTCTGACCACGGAGCTGTAGCCCCAGCCCCACCTTTCATAGTCTTTTGCTGTTTTCCTGTTGTTCTCCATGTCATCAGGAAAGAAACCTATACCAGACATGGTAACACACATTTGTAATCCCAGAACTTGGGAGGCAGAGCCATCCTGAACTGCATAGAAAGTTTGAGGCCTTGACTAAATGAGAACTTGTCTCAAAAAACAACAACAAAATCCAATAGAATGGGTGTGGCTCAATGGTTAAGAGTGGCAATCTTTCTTCTAGAGGACCAGAGTCCACCACCCATGTCAGGCAGCTGGCCTGTAACTCCACTCCTGGAGATTCATCATTCTCTGGGTACCCACACACACATGCTATGCACATATACATGTGAATAAAAAATTTTAGAATGCATCTTAAAAAATAAAAGCAACAAAGAAAAATTAGATTGCCTAGATTACCCTGATTCTAGTTCAGGAGATTTGGTGTTGGCCCAAAAACTCAAAATTTTTCCCTTCTACATTCTCCCTGAAGATTGAACCCAGGGCTTTATGCATGCCAAATGAGTATTCTCCTAAAATGAGTGCTTTCATAAACCACATCCCCAATCCTTGTTTTTCAAATGAGGCTCCTGAGGGAGCCTGTGTGTGAGGTTATAATCTTCTGAATAGCATTCAGTTGTTACAACCACCACCCTACTCCAGCTTGTCTTTTGTAATCCATTTAGCCGTTTGTGAGTCTGCCCTAGTTCTCAGCCTTAGTGCCTTTTTTACCTGTGTACTTACCTCCTTTCTCTGATCCTGTTTAGGTGCAGACACCCTGGATGTGCCTTGGGAAGTCTTGGCTACACAGCCGTTCTGTCTGAGAGAACAGACAGAGACCTCTGAGCCTCAGCTCATTGACACCCACCTTGAAGCGCATGGATCTCGACCATCTCTACCTAGGGAACCACCAGAACACCAGCATCTGGTTCATACCAGTCCGGTTCACACAGAGCTGTTGAAAATGGAAGGCAGAGAGATACAGACTGTGGAGAAAGCCATGGGTACACCAAAGGAAATAGCAGACAGGGTGACCCCTGAGAGAGAACCATTGGAGAGGAAAATCAGGGGAAGAACAGCAAACAGTGAGAGAGAAGATGTGATGGGGAGGAACTAACTCAGGGGAGAGAGGACAGAGAATCAGAGAAAGTGTTAGCTAGAGACAGAGAAAAGCGGCTGACGAGAATCCTGAAGGGAATAGGGAGAGTTTTCAGGTAGAAATGGAGATGTCCAAAGACTCACCGAAGAAAGAGAAAAGTAGAGAAACCAGAACCAGAGAGAGAATGGGAGCCAGCTGATTTAGAAGTGACGTCAGATAGAGGGCTGACAGAGGAAGGGAGTCACCATGATCAGAAAGGTCAAATTGCTAGTCTAACAGTAAAGCCTGGAGTTGAGGTGAAGGACCTTGAGGGACTGGATCAACCCCAATAATGGCTGGGAGCCAGGGATGGAGGAAAGGGAGACTCTTTGAGCCCCAGGAGGCAGCAGAGAGGGAAGTGTGAGGCAGGGGAAGCTAAGTGGTATGTAGTCCTCATGGCAGTTAGTGTCTGAGCTACAGGCTGCACAACACTCAGCCTCTCTTGTTTTGTTCTCTGACTAGGCCACTTGAGTTGCCAGATGACACCTGCTAGAAAGGCTTCCAGGGTGAGCTGCTTTCTTATCATGCCTCTACTTCCCCAGCAGCCCTTTGCCTAGCCTTACTTTAGTCTTTCTTTGTCCTTATTTCCCATTTTCTCACTGCATGTACGTTTGTGCGTGTTTGTGAGGGTGTGTGTTTGGGGGAGGTGCATGAGGAAGTCAAGTGACAGCCTTGTGTGTTCTTCAGGGACTACCCAGCTTTTTGGGAGGGTAGTGGTCAGGATCACAGACTGGCTTAGAATATGCTAAAGTAGACTAGGCTGCTTGCCAGCAAGCCCCAGGAATCCTCCTATCTCTACCTCCCTAGCATTGGGATTCTAAGCATATACCACTGTACCTGGCCTTTATACATGGGCTCTGGAGATGAAAGTCAGGTCTTAGTGCTTGCCTTGCCTACTGACCTGTGTCTCTGATCCCACATTCCCAAAGTCGTCTTGTTCGTCACTCATTAGTTGGTTTCTGTTCCCGTATCCTGCCACCCATAGTTCTCTATATTGACCCAGAGGTCTCTTTGTGTTTTGTCCCTCTTTGTCCCCGCCATGTCTTAGTTGCCATACCCACCTGTGCACAGCACTGCCCTAGAGTGGTAGGATTAGAGATACCCTATGGTATCTCTGTTTGTTTGGGGTTTCTTTTGTTTGTTTGTTTGTTGTTTTTTGTTTTGTTTTTGGTTTTTCGAGACAGGGTTTCTCTGTGTAGCCCTGGCTGTCCTGGAACTCACTCTGTAGACCAGGCTGTCCTTGAACTCAGAAATCCGCCTGCCTTCCTTATGGTATCTCTATGGTAAAGATTGCTTCCTCCCCCAAGGAGTTCCTGGCCTAAAGAGAGGTCACAGAAAGAGATGTCCCAGTGAGTGTGCTGTGACCATAAATAGAATCAAACCAGACATGCACACAGGCCTTTGATCCCAGCCCTTGGAAGTGAAGGTAGAAGAATCAGTGGAGGACACTGGAGGCACATGAGCTATGAATTCCGAGAAACACTGAAAAAAGTTAAGATCCTTGTCCGCCTCTTTCTTGGTGCCTTTTGTCAATTGCTTCTCCTTCTTCTCAGGGTGATCCAGAGCCCCCAGACCATTGCCTGTTTTCTCCAGTGCCTGAAGCTGCAGCTCAGAGTCTCCTCACCTCTCAGAGCCAAAAGCAGTCTACACCTCAGCCTCTGTTTTCGACCTCTTCTTCTGAGCTACCCCTTCCAGAGACTCTTCTTACAAAGCCTAATGTCAGACCACGGCGGTCCTCCAGGATGACCCCCTCCCCACATTCCTCTGCTGCCCTTAAGCCTTATACTACCTGCCCCACAAACCAGCCTGCTGCCTCTAGACCAACATCTCGACCCACTCGGAGCAGGGCAAATAGGTCCTCTACTAGGACCCCAGAACTGCTTCCCCCTACAGACCCTGAGCTCCAGCCTTCCACCTCCACAGAACAGCCTATCATCCCAAAACTTACATCTCAGGTCACTGAAGGCAGGGCACATAGTGCCTCTGTTAAGATGCCTGAACCAGTTCTCACAGGTCCTGATATCCAGTCTCCCACCTCCACAGAACAGTCTGTCACCCCAAACCTCAAACCTTGGGCCACTCAGAGCAGGCCAAGTAGGTCTCCCAACAAGACCCCAGAACCACTTATCTCTACTGACCCTGAGCTAGAACCTCCCACCTCCACAGAACAATCTGTCATACCTAAACCCACTTCTCGGGCCACTCGGGGCAGGCCACGTAAGTCTTCTGTCAGGACCCCAGAACCAGTTGTCCCCACTGGCCCTGAACTGCAGCCTCTCACCTCCACAGAACAGCCTGTTATCCCTAAACCTAGGGCCACTAGGGGTAAATCAAGTAAGTCTATCAAGACCCCAGAACCAGTTGTTCCCACTGGTCCTGAACTGCAGCCTCTTACCTCTGCAGAACAGCCTGTTATCCCTAAACCTAGGGCCAATAGGGGTAAATCAAGTAAGTCTATCAAGACCCCAGAACCAGTTGTCGCCACTGGTCCTGAACTGCAGCCTTTCACCTCTGCAGAACAGCCTGTTATCCCTAAACCTAGGGCCACTAGGGGTAAATCAAGTAAGTCTATCAAGACCCCAGAACCAGTTGTCCCCACTGGTCCTGAACTGCAGCCTTTCACCTCTGCAGAACAGCCTGTTGACCTCACATCTCGGGCCTCTCGGGGTAGGTCAAGTAAGTCTATCAGGACCCCGGAACCAGTTGTCCAAATTGGCCCTGAATTTCATCTATCCACCTCAAAACAGCCTGATAACCCTGAGCCCTTATCTCAGGGCAGGACACATAGGTCTTCTGTCAGGTCTCCTGAATCGAGTGTCCCCACAACCCCTGAAGTTCAGTCTTTCACTTCTAAAAAACAGCCTACCCCCAAGACCACAGCTCTGGTCAGTCGGGGAAGGACATATAAACCCTCCACTGAAGATTCTAAATCAGTTGGGCCAGTGGCCCTTGATTTTGAGCCTCCCACTTCTACAGACCATCTTGTCACCCCTAAGATCACAGCTCAGAGCTCAACACTGCAGTCTTCACCCCTAAGTGCTTCCCCAGTTTCCTCTACCCCTGAACTCAAGCCTCCTGTCCCCACAGCCCAGCCTGTTACCCTGGAGCCCATTCCACAAGTCAATCACCAAAGGAGACGAAGGGCTACTGGGAAGCAGGGTTCCCGCACAGTTCCCGTTGGTCATAATTCTTACTCTGCCCCCTCTGAACCTGAGTCCCAGTCTTCAGCCAGCCAAAGCTCAGGGGCATCAGAAGCAGGTGAGTCAATTATAGCCACTCCTGAGCCTGTCATTCCCCTGTCACATAGCAAAGCAGCTGGGAGACCAGGGTCCATTCCTGAGCCCCAGCCTAAGGCTTCTCCACTACCACAGACTCATCCCGTCAAAAACGTCCCCGAAGACAAGTCTCCCAGAAAACCATAGTCGTCAAGGAAGAGCCTGTAGAAATAGAAGTGAAGGAAGAGGTAAGAGGAGAGCTGAGGGGGCTCCCTAGCTAGAAGCAAGAGCTGCAGGGCTCAGAGATGCCCACTGAGATGCTTTTCAGCCTCAGGAGACAGCAATTCCAACACCAGGCAAGAGAAAGAGGGACCGTGCAGAAGAAGAGACCCAGGGAAACCCAACTCGAAGCCGACGAACTAAACCTAACCAAGAAGCAGTGGCCCCCAAGGTAGAAAACAAGGGGCCGGGGATTTAGAGATGGGTGCTGTGCTGCTGCCATGGGTTGCTGTGACAATCTTTGCACCATCCCCCAGGTACTCTTCACAGGAGTCGTGGATTCTCGTGGAGAGCGTGCAGTGCTGGCTCTGGGAGGCAGTCTGGCCAGTTCAGTAAATGAGGCCTCCCACTTGGTCACTGATCGAATCCGCAGGACAGTCAAATTCTTATGTGCCCTGGGGAAGGGAATCCCCATCCTGTCCCTGAACTGGCTGTATCAGGTAAAAAAACAGGAAGTGATGAGTGGCTGGAAAGGATGGCTCACCTAGTAGTGGCAGTGGGAGGGAGGAGATGGAGAGTCGTGTTTGTAAGGGCTGGGATGAATCTGGTAGAGCACTTGCCTAGCATGCTTGAAGTCTTGAGGTCAATCCTCACCACTGGGAAGGACAAACAAGACACAGTAAGTTCTCTTCAAATAAACAATAGTTCTGTCTGTTCTTCCTCTTAGTCCCGAAAGGCTGGTTGCTTCTTGCCACCTGATGACTACTTGGTGACTGATCCTGAACAGGAGAAGAATTTTAACTTCAGCCTTCGGGATTCCCTGAGCCGGGCTCGGGAAAGAAGACTATTGGAGGTGAGAGGCTGTCTTCTGCACCACGCTGCAGTCCTATCCCCTGTACCCCTGAGAGGTTTCCCAATGGCCTCTGGCCTGTCACTGCAGGTATTTGTCTCCACCATTTCTCTCTTAGGACTATGAGATTCATGTGACCCCTGGAGTGCAGCCACCCCCACCTCAGATGGGGGAGATCATCAGCTGCTGTGGAGGCACTGTCCTGCCCAGCATGCCCCACTCCTACAAGGTATGACAGGTGTGCCCTGTGTGCTCTGAGCTGGAGGCAGGGACAGCGGGAAAGGAAGTGGGAATGAGAAAGGGTTGGAGGAATGATGGAGGGAAAGAGTAATAAGAATGAGGGAAGAGAGGAAGAGGTGCTGGCCCCAAAGGGACTCAGTGTTGTTTTGAGGTTTAACATTTTCAAATAGCCATACATTGGCAGTTTAGCACTTGGGACTTGGAACATGAGAAGTTCTAGGTATATACTCATGTAAACAAGCCACGACTGCATGTCACTCTCTTATCCACCCCCATTCCCACCCTAACATTTTTTTAAATCTATTTTACACAGAGAAGAGGAGCTGGAGAGGCAGCCACTGGTTAAGTGTACTTGTTGCTATAGCATGAGCACAAGAGTTTGGACCCCAGCACCCACAGCAGGGGGCTCACAAACACTGTAACTCCAGCAGCAAGGAAGTCAGAACCCTCTTTTGGCTTTCTATTTGCTTAAGTAATTTATTTATTTATTTATTTATTTATTTATTTATTTATTTATTTATTTTTAATTGATTTATTTATTAAGATTTATTTATTGAGCTGGCAGTGGTGGTGATCCCAGCACTCAGGAGGCAGGGGCAGGAAAATCTCTGAATTTGAGGCCATTCTGGTCTACATAGCAAGTTCCAGGATAGCCAAGACTACATAGGACTGTGTCTCAAAGAAAAGAAAACAAAACTATTTAATTTATATGTGGATGTTTTGCCTGAATGTCTGTCTGCACTGTGTGTGCGTGCACCTGGTGCTGGTGGAGGGCAGAAGAAAGCAGAGGGCATTGGATTCCCCGAGACTGGAGCTACAGATTGTAGGTGCTGGGAATCAAGCCTGGGTCAAAAATATATTTTGCTTTGCACCCATAGTTAATAGTTTTAATTATGTTACACTTCTTCCTTCCTTCCTTTCTTCCTTTCTTCCTTTTTTTAAAAAATATTCTGTAGTCAGGCACTCTTTAAAGCAATTACTTATGTTGTGGTGACCCTCAACCATAAAATTATTTTTGTTGCCACTTTATAACTGTAATTTTGCTGCTATTATAAACTGTTCTGTAAATCTTTGTATTTTTCTTTTTCTTTTTTTTTTCTTTTTTTTTTTTTTTTTTTTTTT